TCCTCTACCCTTCCTGTACTTATCTGCCCGGCTCTCTGTAATTAGCATGCCCTTTAAGCTATCGGGACACCGAGCCGTCCGTGGCTGTGGGTTCTTACGATGGGGCCGCAGACAGAAAACGCTGACTCACCGCGCCGTGAGAAACGTCCCGGGCGGATGACCCACGGCTGTTTAATCTCTCAATAAGACGCCATAAAAAGCCCAGGACCCGCCCGCCTCTCATTTGGACGCCACGGAAGGCTCCCGTCTTTTTCATCTCTCATTGTAATTATCATGATACGGGACCTTCATCTGCTTCCAGCCACACAGCAACGCTGGAGGCAGACGCTTCAGGCCCCAAGCTGCTCCTGAGTGGTTTGACGTGTCGGCGGGGGAAAGATCAGGGCCGGCAGAGCAACTCCTGATAAACATACGGTAATGAGCAACAGGTCAGGATTTTACATTAAGGCATCCATCATGGTAAAAGTCACATGGTAACGGACTCTGTGTCAGCTTGTTGCAGTACATCCTCAGTTTTGGGGGACGGGTTCAAAATGGCCATGTGACTGATACTGGCGGGGGGGTGAAGTCCAGGACACAAATGCAAAATGGTCACTAACAGCGTAATTTTCCAAATGTTTAGCTGTGCTGTCTAATGCCCTGGCATCCTGTCCAGGGTGAACCACAGCCTAGTGCTCTGTGCTGAGATAGATCAGACCCACCATAGCCCAAGATGGATAAGCATGATGGACGGATGGATTTTAACAGCATTGTTGTGAAGCCTAGTGAAATATTTAAGTTCTTGTGATCCATACTCCACTGCATCTAGGGTGTACTCCAGCCGTGTACCTCATGCTGCCTGGGATACCCTCCCCCCCCCCCCCCCCCCCCGACCTTGAACAGGTTGGAAGACTGATGGATGGATGGACGGATGCTCTCTGTGTAAAATCCTGTCAATCTTCAGAGAAGTCTGCAGACACCAAAGAACGATTCCAAACCTCTGAGCACCAAATCGACGCTTTCCCGTGACACCGATACACAGGGTCACCTGGCCCTGCGGTAAATCCAAGGCAAGAGAAAGTGCGTCCGACTGGGCTGCCCCACCCCTGATTGGGCACAGCCTTGGAGTGTCCGTGCTGGTCTTTGCGCCATTATGCTGAGCTCCGGTGTCCATTCCAGGAGAACATCTGACTGTACGGCTGTGGTCAGATAATGAGAGGCAGAGCTGAAATGTGCTCTCTGACATGACCACACACATAAAAATACCACCGCTGCCCCATGTCTCTGTCTACTCCCTTTCTTCAGCTGGGATTGGATGGACTGACTTAATGCCAATCAAACAACACGCTATTAACGGCTAAGACTCTTTCTCTCGCTCAAATGCATCAGCAGTTGCATTTACTGCTTGGGTGCTTAGCAGGTCTTCACCAGAGTGCCCTTGTTTTTAGTGAAATTGTCTGTAGGCCTGGCAGAGAGTCCCAGCCAGACTTGACTATGTGAATGCTCAGGTACAAGTGCAAGCAGGAGCTACAGAAAAACTACACAACAACTAATAACAACGTAAGAACCTAATTAGACTGTTCTAGGAGTAAAAGCACAACATAAAAGCATAAAAAAAAAACATGAAGAGGAATCAGATTAGTAGAAGAATTCATGGAACAGATGGATCTTGAGGTGTTTCTACACAAGAGAACCCAAGAAGCGATAACTGTCTTGACTGGAGGGAAGGAGGCTTTCCGGCCTGGTGGATGTCTTAAAGTGAGTATATTTACAAAAATTAGGTTTTCCAAGATAAGCAGCAAGTCACTTCCTGTTTAGCCCTTCTACAGCAATTCCCAGAATTGTAGGAAACTGGTTCTATGGAAATGAGGTCTGGGGGCTGGCCAGGTCATTCTGAAGTTTGTTTGTAGCGTTGTTGTCTTTCTGAAGAACAACGGAATGTTCGGTCAGCCATAATGTATTTTTGAAGTTTGCATTGATAGCCATGCTGGTCGAGATGGGTAACACTTTACTTAACTGGGCACCAGTACTTAGTAATGACTACTGAAGTACAAATCATGAACAAATATAGTGACTACTTCAGATAAAAGATGCATCGCGATTCATTAATGATGAACAAACATGAGTTCAGCATTTAACTTGCGTTATTCCTGACTTGTTCTTTCAGCAGTTCACAAAGGCTTACAGAATTAACAGACATAGTAACAAATATAACAACTGCTTGAGATGAAACATGCTTCACGGTTCATTAAAAATGAACAAACATAAGATCAGTATGTAACTAAGACTTTGTCTGTGGTTAATTAATACAATTAATAGCATAATACTATAGTATTTGTGCCCCTTCAAGTAAAGGGTTACCAAGATGTGGTCATCAGCTAAGCATCCCCAGACTGCCTCCCACAGGCTCGGCAGGGAAGCACATGGTGTAAACCTTCTCCACATCATAAAAGTAAGAATGTTTTTAATGCACCATGTGCTGGTAACAAGCCTCCAGCTGCTGATTTTCCTTTGTGTGAATGAGAGCAGATTTACTACCAAGTGACGTACTAAACTGTTGGGTGTAGGACAGCGGGGGTGGAGCTGAAGGCCGTGTCCACAAGTGCCCGAGGGCGAGCGAGCTTCCTGGGAACTCCGGTCACCCCGGGAGACCCAACAAGCAGTCAGCCAACAACATTTCCAAGGAACTGCAGCCCTTTTTCTGAAAGTCAGACATGCGGGCAGCCAAACGTTTGTTTGAAAGTCACCTGATCCGTATCTTATTATAACTTCTTCATATTTCTGGCTAATCTGGCTCATTTTCACAAAATATTCTCATAATGATTCATGTTTGCAATAAAAGACGCACATCTGAAAAGCTTCAGCATTATTTAGTACATTAACGACGCGTTTGTTTGAATCTGCTTCAGATGTGGGAACGTGGTCCTCTTATGCGCCATTGGCTGATTGGTCACACCTGTCATGCCTAGTTGTGCATTCTTGGTAGCTGACATTTACTTAGCAGATACCAAAGTGATGCAGAAGTGAAAGAGCACCATCAGCCAGTGATAGCATTCTGCCAGACACAGGATTAGAACTGGAGAGTTCCGGGTCAGGGCGCCTGGCCACGCCCACCGTCCGCAGGATGAGGTGGCATCGCTCACACCTCGCTTACTATGTAAGTTCCACAGCAGCACCACCATTTGGTTCCTCTTCAGTTGTGTCGTGGTCGTCCTCCATGGCCAGGGTGGTGCACCTACAGACAAGCGGCCCAAGCGTGAGCCAGGTGTGTGTAGCATCGTATTCCGAGGTTAGCTGCTAAGTTCTTCCGTGTTCCCCCCGGCGATGATGGAGGATTCCAAAATGAGGCTCCCCCCGCGTGCATGCTGTGATGGAAGCTGTTAGCAGTTAGCAGTTCCTCCTCGGCTGGCCCATGTGATCTGAATCTGAAGCCCTGTCTATCTGCCCCCCCCCCCCATTTGCCATAAACAATAAAGCAGTGGGAAGCTGGATAGTGGGAAGGCTGCTCCTCCTCCCCCACAGAGATGGCCTCCTCGTTACCTGCCTAATGGCCTATGGCAGGGAGTGCACTGGCCAGACACCCGCTATGCTGCTGTGCTCTTCTTAATCACGTGTAGAGTGTCCCTTGGTGTTTCGCCTGCCTCCTCAGCTCCCCCTGCTGGCCACCATGGCCCATCATGGCTTTCTGGCAGCTTCTGCTGGTTCTGCTTGTGTGGAAGCAAAGTGGCAGTTGGGGAGAGCTGTACCATGGAGCCCCCTCTGGGCCCCTGCTGATTGGGGCTGCTGGGCTGGCTTCGGGCCCTGGGAAATAGGTTTTCCAGGGAAACTGTGTGGTGCTAACTATGGCTTCCCTCCAAACATACACAATTCCTGAAAAGATGTATGTACCCAGGAGGATTCCAGGAAAAAGTGAGAAGTATCAATTATACTGTAGGGAAATTACATGTATGTTACTGGGAGCCAGAACAAGGGGTTTCCAGAGGCTCTGTAGGCTCAAGTGCTTTGCTTGCTACTTCAACGTTGGCAGATAGTTGCAACATCACCACCTTGTGGCGGATGAGAGTATATGCTAAGTCCATCTCACAATGTTTGGTTCATTTGAATCATCAGATGAGGAGATTCAAAAAGTTAGTATTAACAAATGGTGGATCAATGGGTAGCACTTGCCTCACATCACAGATATGGGTTTGAATCTTGTTCAGCTGCGTTTATTATGGGTTTAATTGAACTATCCAAAATGGGCAAAAGGCACCTCTGAGCCAAGGGCATAACTTTGGGTTGAGTACTGGGAGGTTGAGGTCCCCACCAATTTATGGGGGTCCAGGAGGCTGTTTTTTTAATTATTATTATTGCGGGGGTTGTAACCCCCCACCCACTCCCATAATTTGCAGCCATGCCCATAGTGCAGCGGTGGCCAATCTTATCCGCAAAGGGCCGGTGTGTGTGCAGGTTTTTGAGGTGACCTTTAGGTCAGCTGTTCAAACCCAGGTGTGAGGACTCTTCAGCCAATCAATCCTCTAATTAGTAATCTAATTAGGGAGTTGCAGCGAAAACCCACATACACACCGGCCCTTTTCAGATAAGATTGGCCACCCCTGCCATAGTGGATGTATACGCCCTGCGATTGACTGGCATCCTGTCCAGGTTGTACCACAGCCTTGTGCCCTACACTGCCTGGCATAGGCTCCTACCAGCCTGACTAGGATTAGCGATTAGATGGGATGCAACAGTCTGACCTTTGACTTGGATTAAGTAGAACACTGTTGCAACCCTTTGTTTTTGTCTCAGTTAATCAGAGGGATTTCTGCATAAATGCAAGCCTGGTTTGGCTGAGGGGGTCTGAGAGATGGGCTGCTCCAACACCACTGCATGCAGAGCTCGCTAAGAATGATGGCTTAACAGCGCAGACGCGAAATGGCCAGCTGGTCATCGTTAATCAGAACTTATCCGTCTTTGTCACATTCCTCTAACATTGCATGTGTTATATAAGACCTAAGATGCATAAATCAACAGACACAGCATCTCTGTATATAGAGCTTTTATTTAAAAGGCATAGTTATTTTTTATGGAGTTAAAAAGCACTCTTTAAAAACTGAGTACAAAACAGATTGATACAACCTCTTGGCTACAAGTAATAGAAGCATCTGGCAATCATCCTGACATTCCCAGCTCCGCGTTTTCTTTTTGGAAATAAAAATATTTGAGTTCCCTGTAATGTTTCTTTGTTACAAAATTATTAAATTGAGAAAATAAAAACATTTAAGTTTACATGTTTAAGTTTGTACAAAAACAATTTTTCGTACAACATACAATTTTATAGCCCACGTTCCCACCAGTGTAAAATGACACTTTTATGAATCACCTCAGTGACCAGATGGTCTAACAGTTTAGGACACAGTAACACCAGACGAGAACCAGTTCTTGTTCCTCATGGAAGCCAAGGCCCAAGTGTCCAACAATGACTCTGCAACGTCAGACTTTTGTCAGTCAACATTCACCTGATGAGTGCTGGGTGCTTACAGCTTCTCCACACTGAGCACTGCAAACGCAGTGCAGAATTCACTGGATGTTATAGCAAGCTTATGAGGCCTGACACATAAGGATACACATACTGGAATTCCCTAAGTGCAACATACTATAAGGAAAATAACAGGAAAGTCATTCAGTATATAAGAATAATAGTAGTGATGCTTAAGACCCCTCATGAGCTTCCAGCCTGTCTCTGATTGGATTTAAATGCTACCCCTGTGGTCATGTGACAAACAGCATTCCTTTGACATAGGTATTAGGACAAGTATAATGTAGCTTAAGGAAGTTGCCATTTTTTTCCGGATTACTGACAAGAAAAGCTTGGGATCTTTATAAGTGCCACCTGGCAACCTGGACTGAGACAGGTGGGAGAGTAGCCAGGCTGGGCCCCGGTGACAACTCTGGTGGGTAGTGCTCCCATGGCAACCCCCCCCCCCCAAGCACGGTCCGCTGCTACAGGGGCAGTGTGTCTCTGCTGGTCTCCCCCGGCGTCTCCGCCAGTTTGATGGTCACGGCTTTAACCTCGGTGTACTCCCTCAGTGCGTACTCACCCCTGCAGAGGCAAGAAACCGATTTGAGGCATCCTCCTTAGTTACTAAAATATAAGTCTCTAATTTTTACATATTTAACATGCGTTCAGCAATATCTGTGAAACCTCTTTGTCAGTGAATAATGTGGCTGCTGTGTGTCAGTGATGAGAGACGTTGACCCTTAATGTGACTTACTGTGGGAAAAGCTGCATCATTAACAGCAACAGTAGAGTGAGGAGCACCTACTTATGGAGCATGAAGATTACTCATCTCTGCTGTAACTATTGAGTGGGTTTGTACTTATTTCTGCTCCGTTACTCCACCCTTACTGACTAGTTCCTGTAAAAATTACTCTGAAAATTCAAATTTTGTCTAGATGACACTGTATAAATGTATTACTGCCTAGTGAGTCAGAAATACGGCGTATAGCCATATAGCATGTGTGGCTCAGCAGGCTAAGCTTCTGTGCCTGTGAACGGAAGGTTGTTAGTCTGAGCCCAGCCTCAGCAGAATAGTTAGGTGTGTGGGCCATTGTGTGAGGCGGGAACCAAAGGTGGCTGCCCTTCTCTACCAAACTTGCTCTAACCTACGTGTTTTTTATGGAGAGCACGAGGCGAAATGAGAATTTCCCCATGGGGATCGGAACAGTGTCACTGTCATTGACAGGCGTGAACGTGGAGCAGCTCAGTGCAGCGTATCTTGCAGCGGCCTGTCTGAGAGAGTGAGGAGGAGGGCGACCTTACAGCTCTCGCCCGAAGCCGGACATCTTGTAGCCGCCGAAGGGGGTCTGGGCGTGCAGGGCGTTGTAGCAGTTCACCCTGTGGGACAGGAGGGTCGTGGGGGGGAGGGGGGGGAGGCAGCGTGGGGAGGGTGTCAGGCTCGTGGAGCACAAAGGGGACTTTATAGCAGGCCTTGGCTTTCATTTCACTGCTTATTTGTTCTGTTCATTTTCTTCTTGTGTTGATGTTGTGACCTGATGTTGGCTGTTAGCATTGGGTGTGTTTAGCTTTGGTCACTGGTGATGTGTCATTCTGATCGCTTAAACCAGAAGATGAAAGATGTTTTACCATTATAAGTAACACTATTTAATTTTAGTGCACAGAAAAGCTGAACTGCCAAAACTTCTATTCCTTGTGTTCCTTAGATGTTATGACGTCATGCATGGATGAACAGATACTGTATGACCTACCAAACAGTCCCACACTGCAGAGCACTGGACAAGCACAGCGCCTGGTCCACGCTCCGCGTAAATACCGCGGCGACCAGGCCGTATTCCGTGCTGTTTGCCCTCTGGATCACTTCCTCCAGGGTTTTGAACTTGAGAATGCACTGCACGGGGCCGAAGATCTGAGGAACAGAAGACCACCGTTAAGTGCTCATAACACGTGATTCCTCATGCAGAGTTACACACTATCCAGCAGGTGGCGTTGTTGTGCCTCGTACTAGACCTAAAGTACGCATCTGACTACAAACAATTGACAAGGTTGGCCAACCCTGACCCTAGTTCAGCATTCCTGAAGGCCTTGGAGAATTCATGTCAATCAGCACCACATGTCCAGCAGAAAAACAAGGTGAGGTCTTGCTACTCTAACGGTAACACACGGGATCCAGGTCCTGCCCCCCCAACTCAGTTTAGGTTATCATGTTATGAAGTCAGCAGGTCCACGTTCTGCTGCAGCACCTCTTCCTTTGCGATGCGCATGTGATCCTGGACCTCAGAGAACACGGTGGGCTGGATGTAGAGGCCCTGGGTCCGGACAGCGACGCCCCCACACTCCAGCTTGGCCCCCTCCCGCTTGCCGCTCTTGATCATCTCCATGATCTTGTCGAACTGCTCCTGGTCAATCTGGGACGAAACAGCTCTGTCAGCACGGGCTGGGGGGGTGGGAATGTCAGCGGTCAGTCTGCGGTCAGTCTGTGGTCAGTGGAGGGACAGACACCTGCGGCCCGTGTGATGTCCGTGGGTCCATGGGGTCCCCCGGCACCACGCGCTTGGCGCGCTCCACGCTGAGGCGCACAAACTCCTGGTACACCTCCTCCTGCACGAAGACGCGCGAGGCGGCAGTGCAGCACTGGCCCTGGTTGAAGAACGCCCCCTGCTGGGCCTCCTCCACAGCCTTCCGCACTGCAGAGAGCAAACAGCACTGTCACACTCTGTAATCTGCTCTGCCCCCCACCTCCCGAATCGAGGGCCCCCTGGCCCCCCGCCATGCTGCGGGGGGGGGGGGGGGGGCGTAATCCCCAGCGCTCACAATCAGCGTCGGCCAGAACGATGCAGGGGTTCTTCCCTCCCAGCTCCAGTGTCACTCTCTTCAGATTGCTCCTTCCCGATTCCTGCTGGATCAGCTTCCCGACCTGTGGCGTGAAAGACCGTCACATGTAGGGGGCGCTGGTGAGCTTCAGGGTTATGCTAACCCTCGTCTCTCAGCACAAATGCCCACCCCCTTAGCAGAGACAGCGCCCCCTTGCTGTCACACTGGAAAGGCTCACCTCAGTGGACCCCGTGAAGGCCACCTTGCCCACGTCCGTGTGGCAGGCGAGGGCGCCCCCTGCAGTGGGTCCGAAGCCAGGCAGGATGTTTACGACCCCCGGGGGGAATCCGGCCTTCCAGGAACATACGCGGGGGGTAAATGATGGTCAACAAGATAAATTCACTCCACAGAAGGATAAATGCGTAACAGAAATTGAGCACAGCGGGGACTTTCCAGTGCGATAGATAAGTACAGTCAACATGTGAGTGATTCTCTCCGAGCAGGACAGTCCTGCTTTGTGTTCTCACCTCCTTGATCAGCGCCCCCATGTGGAGGGCTGTGAGCGGCGTCTGCTCGGCCGGCTTCAGGACCACGGTGTTGCCGCAGCACAGCGCCGGGGCGATCTTCCACGTGAACATCAGCAGGGGGAAGTTCCACTAACGGACAAGCCAATGGAAAGTGGAGTCAGAACGTAGTCATGGAAACGGGGGAGGCAGCACATGGTGTGACTCAGAACAAAGACTCGCATCCCAGTAAAGACCCCTGAGAGCGCATGCAGAGTCTTCAGACCAGGCAGCAAATGTAAGAGACTCACTGGCTCAACGTGATTGTAAAACTCTGATCTCAGCTTGGCCGCAGGTCTTTGGTTTCTGGAACCGAGCTCCCTGCCTTTTTCACGTTATGACTCACCAACTCTGTGTCCCACGGCTTTTGCCAACGACGTCACTCTGCCACTATGATGTAATTCCCTGAGTCTGACAGCTGGGGACTTTTTTTTGTCTCAAAGGGGATCAAGGACCCAACAGCCAGTTTTAACTGATAATCCTCTAAGACTGTACATCCTACTAGTGTAAAATATTTTTTTCTATTAGTGCAACGCAATAGATTTAATTACAGCCATTACAAAGACTGTTAGCTAATGTGAACTTCTGTACTGCCTGTATTGCTTTATTTGCTAACAAAAATGATTAGATCACCTCCAAAGTATTCCTGCTGTAAAAGTATCCTCCACCTGAAGGATTTCTCTCTGATCTTAGTAATATTACCCTTCAGAGAGATTACAGTTTGGCCCAGCTATGACTAGAGAGTGTTAAGATTAAGATTACATTTCCTGCAGTGTTTAGTTTTCCTTTAAACCTGAGCATTCGCTTGCATGGCAAGTGCTGTGTCTGTGACTGTGAGCCAAAATGTTTCCATAGTTCTGTCATTTGGAAGTAAGGATTCAGAGTAAATCTGATTCTAAATAGCCTTTAATTCATTGAACACTGTAGGGGAAAGACAGGCTCACACTTTTAAAACAGGGGCAGGTTTCTGTCATACAGAAATCAAGGGATGCTACAAATACAGAGATGCCTGTGCAACAGTCTGCACACGTTCATCAAAATACGTGCACTGTGAGGTGACGAATGTCATCACTTTATCTGAGCTCACAGCTTCCACATGTCACTGTGCAGTGTAAGAGATGCAGTCAGCGCCCGACGCCAAGGCGGGATGGAAAATCAAGGTGTTTTTTGTTACTTACTGGAATAATTGCCCCGCAGACGCCGATTGGTTCGTGTTTAGTGAAGCACAGAAAGCTGTCATCTGCAAAATGTCAGAACGGGTGTGAATCAGAGACCATGAATCAGGGGTCTTGTGTTCAACTGGTCCAGGATTAGATTTTCAAAAACCGAGCACAACACGCAGGACATCTCAGCAAGGCTTGCAGGGTAACTGCAGGTCCACAGCCTGCCACAACAGGGAGAATAATACAGTGAGAAAAGAATGTGGCTTCAAAAGGGGGCGTGGCCACATGGCTAGTGGGCGTGGCTATATATAAAGGGCAAAAACAAATTGAGTCTTTGCAAAAATGAGGGCTGGGTTGTTATTCATCAACACTCAAATCGTGACAGCCCCTCCGCCTCTGGGTAGGCATGTGCCCCAGTTCAGAAGTCGTCTCCATTACCGGCACGTAGGGACATTGTGTGTCAAAAGAGATCTAAGCTAACTGAGGTATCGCTGTCTGTGTGATCAAGGTTGCCAGTGGGTATCACAGGCCTTATAGAATGGAACTTGTCACTAGAAGGCTGGTTCAAATTCCGGAAGCGGAATGGTGTTTACCTTTTGAGAAGGGAACCCGGTTCCACTTAATAAGTATTCAGCTCTTAGTCGGCTACACAATTTCAAATCTGCATAAACATGATAATACAATAATAATAATAATAATAATTAAATAATAATAACAATAATGGTCCGTAGCCCTACCTGCTTTGGACCCTTAAAAAGGCCTATCAGAGTCATGTAGTATGTCTGTAACTGATCTTACTATTGTCCTATAGTCATGATGACAGACATTTCAAGTCCCTATGACATCAGTCATCCATCCACGGGAAAAGTGAGCAGGTGACCCACACTGCGGACTCCTCGCTGAATGTTAAATCCGGCTTCTGTCTTGGTGCTTTCCTGTTGCCAGGGCTGCTCTTTGGCTGTGCATGCAGACTGCGGGTCTCCTCATCAAGGCAGCCGCTGGCTCTCAGCTTTTCCTGATCTACTCGGGCAATCCCGCAGGTAAAACTTGCACGCCAGATAATGTGTGGCTGCTTTGGTTGGCTGTCACAGGTGAAATTTGCATAGCAAATGGTGTGATTTGCGGATGAGTTGCTGTAAACTGCTGAGAGGCTGATAAGGATTATCTGAGCATGGAAGCAGCAGGTCTTACTCTGAGCACCGGTGAGGCTTAATTAATTTGGCGTTCTAAATTACAATATATTATGAAGGACTTTTTTTATACGAAAGACTTTTCTATATTGTTACTGATATAGACACAAATCCCTCACGCTATTGGAATATGTCAAAAGAGTCAGAACTCTAAGATAAACTTTATTGGTCCCAGGGGGAAATATTTGAAAGATTTAGCCAGCTAGGAGTCAGAAGGAGAATCTTCTGATCCGTAATCAGACACATTTTCCATTGTGCCACCGGCCCAACTCTATCGGCTTTTAGTCTAATTACTACCATAATGAGTCTAATTAAGGAAGGTCAGCATCTGGAGGCTGTCCCTGGGGCGGAGATTATGACACTTTCCCTGACAGTTGGCCCTAATTGGTTACAGACAGCACCCCTCCCCTTCGCCCCCACAGCTATGGATTTGAATTTAAACACTAGAAAACTGGGAGACCAGCTCTGGTAAATATACCCCCCAGATCAGCTGGAACGCTGCACTGTCGACATGGGGGGGGGGGGGTGAACTCTGGGGGAGAGCCTGTGCACACTTGAGAAAAAGGCACCAGAACGTTCTCGGACGTGCACTGACGTGAGATGGGCGGGCACAGGACCCACCGGAGGTTGGTGGTTATTTATAGGCAATCAATGCCCGTCAGAAGAGGCCCACTCACCCACGGGCATCGTCTTGCCCTGGATTTTGTCGGCCCATCCAGCAAAGTATCGCAGCGTTTTGATGCTGCCGTCCAGGTCGATGAAGAAGGAGTGCAAAAAGGGCTTTCCCGTGTCCATCGACTCCATGGTCTGAGGCGAAACAAAGACACAGGCGGTACAGTGAATTAGCAAAGCGCTGTTTGGTCCATCAGGCCATCAGAAATCCTGACAGGCTGCCGGCTGGTTTCTGCGCCTGCATTGTGGAACTGAGGATGTAGCCATGCAGAAACATCACAGGCTATCAGGATATTAGGAAGTTTTAAGAAAACCTGGAAAAACCTCTGTGTGTGTTATAGCTACTTAGATTAGTTCTGGGTTCATTATCTTAATAATGCAGCAAAAAAAAAACAACTCATTTTAAGGTGAGAGTGCAGAACTGAGTGGCGATTTATCAAATGTCACAGGTGCCATTAAGCTGTGAGAAAGTCCAAAGGTAGCCCCAAAGTACTGACAAGAAACGTAAAATGCACCGGACGTGGTCAGGCTCGCAGTACACGCAGTGCCTTTTCCAAGCACGCGCAGCTGGAGCAGACTCTGCCCGCGCGCGCATTGACGCACGGGACACCCGACGTGTTTGCGCGTAGCGCTCACATGCTATCGCAGCTTTTACAAATGCATCTCCTAATGCAATCTGGCAGGTCAATTAAGGGGATACGTTAAACAGGGCTCTGATTACACAAATTAGTGCCCGATTTAAAGAAAAACGACACTCGGGTAAAAGAGCCGGGGGAATTTAAATGATGTCACCCCTGTTCTAATAAAACAAAATTTTGGCATGACTGACATCGATAGGGCCAGAGGGTACATTGTGCATGGTGAGGTACAACTTATTCCCCAACACTAATTATTCCCAAAAGTGTCATAACTCTGTTGTAACCATCCTGGTTGTCCTGCTTCAGCAAATTAGGAGTAAAATTATTTCCGTCCTACACTAAATAAGTACAAGAACATGATATATATCAAACTTATGACATCACTCGTGCTTATTGTGATGAGTATGAAATGTTTATACTAAAATGACTCTTTTACTCCATATCATGAAGGAAAATTAAATCATCCTGGCGCTTAAGATATGATAAACTGCATGTAATCTCCTCCTTCATCGCGGGGAAGCCGATGGGCTGCCAGTAAACATGATTTTCCACATAGGCTGTTTGTGAAATCTCAGGTTTGATATTATGCGGCATGCGGCTGCTGCTGGTTAAAAATCGATCCACTGCGGTTGTCTTGCCAAGCAGGCAGCCCCAGTCCCTCTTCAGCGCTTGATTCAGCTACATTACCCTGCAACCTCAACGCCAAGCGGCCGAGCGACCGGACGGACGGACGGAGGCGGGGGGCGCCCGGTGCGTGGCAACTCACGGCCAGTAGGTGGCGGTCCCTTTCCAAAAGATCGGCAAGCTTATTCAGCAGGCCCCCACGGCTGGATGCGTCCGTCTTTCTCCAGGTAGACCCCCTCTGGCCAGCCACCTTGGCCGCCTCCACTGCCTTCTCCACATCGGCCTGGGGACACACGTTCAGTCCATTTACCAAGACCATCAGTGAGCTGAAATTTTCTTGTGTGACTGTACTAAAGAAAATGCGAGAACCTTCATTTTTAGTCATTGCATTTTTTTAGCCTGGCCATTTGTCGTTTTTAATAACCTAAAAGCAAAATTAGTCACAGACATCTGTAAAAGGCTTCTTCCCGGTAGGGTAAGGGAATTCCATGAGAAGATGCACACCTTATCGGCCTCCTCCACGTCGCAGATCTTCGCACCTGTTGCGGGATTATATGTGGAGAACTTCTTCCCACTAACAGAGCAGTGCCATTCATTATTGATAAAAATCTGGAATGGAAAAGACAGCGGCAAGAAATTGCAGTATTCCTACGTAACGGTACATCGTTTAACAAATCATTACCGAAATGACGCGTTTATGAGGCTCAGGATTTAAAAAAACCTTTGTGTCAAATCAATCGCCATATACTTTTTCACACAGGACATACGGTGAAATATACACATATAAAACAGACATATATAAATTTAATGTTTTAAGTTGCTCACCTTCACGTGACACGGTTAAAAAAATTTTTTTTAAAGTTTCTTTTATATTACATTTCAACATACATACAGGGTCCAGTAGGTATACATACATCTCTGTACTTACAGCAATTATACATAAATAAGGCGAGACGTAAATCAACAAACGACGGACTGAGCAAACGTAATGAAGCAGCCCAGCCTGTTGAACTAGTATCAAATCACTGCTAAAGCGTAAACATCTCCCTGCCTCCACCTGTTACACGTTATTATAAATGTGTCCAGCAGCGCGCTTGGTATATAGCTGAATTGCAGATTTGAATCGTCCTGACTCTGCATCGCACTACAATATGGGCCATTTCAGCTTCATTATCGGCGGTGGAAATCGGCGTCCTACCTTAGTGTGCCTGACTTCCACATCCTTCAGCGGACGTGGGAAAACCTTCTCCTCTGGCAGCCCGTTCGCTTTAGTCCCGTTCTGGGCCATGATCTTTCTCTGGAAATGAGTTACCAGGGTCGCGCCAGGTCCCAGCACTCTGGTGTGTAATCTCGTAACCAATACAACGGGCTTTATACGGTTTATTTAAGATCCTCCCTCGTATTGGATGACTGATAAGAATAAAACAGCCCCGCCCCTCCTTTTCTGTTGGCATATCTCGGATCCCACCCCCTCCTCTCAATTCCACTTACAGTTAAAACAGTAATATTTGTCTGGAATATCCGTGCTGACTACTTCTTAAGCTATTCATCACCGCAGACTGTTCTCACTCATCCAGATGGATAATGTGGTTTCACTATAACAAGATACACACACCCCATCACACACAGTATAATTTAACACACTCTCAGGGTGGGGACAGCTTCTTTTATTCTCACCTAAATGCCACCGCACATCAAGAAGGATGACCGTGCCTGTTGACTATCAACACGGAATTGGAGTATAATTTGTGAATGTTTCTTTATTGCAATATTTAAACCATTACAGGGACCCACTGAGGCCTTCTCTGCCCCCCCGAGTTAGACTGCATCTGGTTCTGATGGAGACTGACAGACCTGAAATCATGGAGACCAGCTCTGTTGTCCCTGGGGGCTCTGTACTCCGGCCCGGTTCATGTGTAGATTCTACGTGACTGGTACCTGCCGTCAAAGGCCAGCAGGGTCAACGGGTGTCTGTGCCCCCATCTAACACACCTTAATGAGTCAGGGTTTTGGGTGGCCGTTGAGGTGGGTGAAGGGAGGAGAAATGATGCAGTGAAAGGTCACGGTGGGAAAATGTGTTGAGGTGAGGAGGCACAGAGAGATGGCGGCACAGTGAAGCCGAGGCGGACGTGGTCTTGATAATGCCGTTATGGAAATGACAGGGAATTACAGAGCCAAACCCAATTACATGATAACAGCACCGGCGGAACCAGTCACGCAAAGCGGGCTGTGCCATCGCCCGTTATCTGCTGCCGGGCAGTGCTGTCCTGTTTCCCCAAACGCGCGATCGACATTTGTATACCAAATGGGCTTCGTATCACGGAAAAGGTGACTCCAGATTAGCACGCGTTACACGCCGCTATCGCTTTCGTCATTGCCACATGCGTGAAAAAAAATGCCGGGATTGTGTGACCTTACTGAGTGACGGCAGAATGCGAGCCTGAAAATCCTCCGTGTCGTCAGCGCTGCGGGGTTTTCAGCGAGAGTTAATTATTGAGCAGATTCTCGACATGGGCAGGGAAACTAAAGTGTTTTAAAAGAGGCAGGAACTGCAGTCCAGACAGAGGATGAAAAGGAATATTTTAATATCAAATTATTTAAAAATATTTGAATCGACAATGAAAAGAAAGGGCAATTGGATGTGAACTTTGTGCCCCTTTGCATGCTCAGGTCGAGATAAACGCCGTTCTGCCCCTTATCTCTATCATTTCTCACCGATTCAGCTTACACCGACGATTCCGATACCCAACGGAGTCAGAGGGCGCTTTGTGCTTAAGATCAGAGCAATTTGCAGGCTTATTGAGGGACGCTTTCAAATAAAAGGACCTCAGATGCGGAATCCATCATCACCAACCCTCGATGTCGGAAGATCGACTTTCAGTTTTGATGAAAACGACCCGGGAGGGGTCCGGCTGGATGGAGCACTGTGCTGGACTGAGCCCCAGGTAGCAAAAGTGTAGCAGTCAGCTCCAAAAAGATCTTTCAAGCTACGTATATTACAATATTTACTAACATGGTGAGGTGGGATGTGTGGAAAGGGAAGCATGAATTTTTCATGGATGAAATGAACATAAAAACTTTTGCCAATAATTAATCCCAGAACCTTTATCAAACAACAGCAAAATGGACTTCAGATTATGATGCGTATCAAAATCACAGATGTTTCTTCTCATCAGAGGAAAACAGTCTCAGACCTAAGTCTCCTTAGGGAGGGAGCAAAAACATGGAGCGTCTGGAGGGGGTCACCAAGGACCGGATGGAGAAAGTCTTATGTGCAGATAAACAGCTGGTAGGTAAGTATGCTAAGATCATCTGGTGGCTACATGGAGAGACTAGAGCTTTGGGTGCTATCAGTCACTTTTAGACGTCATGTGAAGGTAACTTTTCGGCTGGGGAATGGAAAGTGAGTGACATGCTCTAGATAAGCTTAAGTTCCTACAAGACCAGCCCTCTGTAAGTCCCTACTTTCCCCAAACTGTTTTACATGCATGTATATTTAGCAATAGGTCAAACACAAAGTTTTTTAAAAAAAAGTGGGCCTTTCGATGCACTTCCTGCCTTTCTGTCTTTCACACGTGTATGTGACTATTGTGTAGTAGAATGAATAAAGAAACTACACCTTCTACAATGTTCAGCAGTTAAACAAAGGTCCTAAGCAGGATTTGGCTTCTGCACTACTTTTAAGAATGAAATAGATATAATAAAAATGTTTGGAAAAAACGTCTTAGACCAGGAGCACCTACCCTATAGTTCTCCAAGGTAGTAATGCCCAACCCAGTCCTGGGGGGAACCCCAGACGGTCCATGTTTTTGCTCCCTCCCAACTTCCTTACAGATAGTCCACATTTCTGCTCCCTTCCAGCTGGCAGTCCCTGAGGACCGGGTTGGGAAACACTACACTAAGGCATGGATTCCCAAACTTTTCAACCCACGACCCCCCAAAATAACAGTGACAGAAACTCGCAACCCCCATTTGGCTGATTGGGGGGGGGGGGCACAATGAAAAGTTTTTAAAATCCATCTCATGACCACCCGCCAGTGTCGACCCCCACATTGGGATTGGTCTGTATGTAGGTGGTTCATCCATCCATACATCCAGTTCATTCAGTACGTGATTGCTGTGAGCCTGGAACCTAACGCAGGGCCTCAGGGCATGAAGCGCTGAACTTCCTGGACAGGAGGTAAGTCCAGACACACACACTATGGGCCTTTTAGAGAGACCGGTTCTCCTAAATCACATGTTTTTTGAATGTGGGTGTTTACTAACCCTGAACCAACACTAGCCCAAGGCCAGTCATGATCCAAGGTTAGTGTTTCTGTTAATGTACTGGGGCTTACTGGCCATGAGCATCTGGGCCTATTCATCCAACTGGCCCCACAAGCTGGGATTCAGGGCCTCATTTCAGCAGACTGGTACATAATGTCTGTTCGGACACTTTGATTCATTAGAGAAAATCTAATAAGCTTTTGAGAAAAAGACAATATCCATCCATCCAACCTCCACTCTATACTCCAGCAATACAGGGTCATGGGACAGCCTGGAGTCTATCCCAAGCAGCACAGGGCCCATTGTGGATGAGATGCCTGTCCGTCGCAGGGCACTCACCCCCACACAAACACTCACAACCACATACTATGGATAATTAAGGAACATCCGTTACCTAACCGCATGCTCTCTGACTGCAGGAGGAAACAGGAGTCCCTGACAATTCAATATCAATCAATAAATGACTTGATGAGACAATCTGAGGCGTACATATTACTGAATAGTAGAGTAAGTGGGAAACAATGCAGGTGATATATGTCCAAGTTTACAACTGTAATCTCCTCGAGTGACTAAAACCAAGATCATACTGGTTACATGCATAATATTTTATTATACCAATTTTATTACATCATTGTAAGGATGCAGGTGAATAGTAGTAATAATGTGAAATTATTAATTAATTCTGTGTTGTTTTAAAATAGCTGTATGTATTTATTTAATTACATGGCTTAATAACACAGGTTAACAGGTCATTTTCATCAGAGGTAATTTTATGTGGGGTTTGTAGTATTTTTCGTACTGATTTCAGATCTGTGTTTAGTTTTTCTCTGGCATGTCAAGTTTTTGTGATGAAGCTATATGTAGTATGATATTATGTACATGCAGTCTGCCTAAGTGTATTACAAGAGTTGTCTGTGTTTTTTATCTTATAGACAGCATCACAGTTCTCTAGGTGACTAGATATTGATTTATGTTTTATTGATACTTGTCTAGTTGTGATTTGAGTATAATTAAATTGACCTAGTGTACATGTCTTGTGTACAACTTAGTTTGGCGGGAAACATAGGTAGTTGTGCCTCAGGTTTAGTTTTGCTGACGTAAGCTTTTTGACAAATTTTTTATTATTTCTCGAATTGTTGCAAAAGAAATACTAAATCTAACTCTTGAGTTTGAATTCTGGGTGTTCGACCTGGAAATCGAAGGCGGAGGTGACAGACAGCATCAACTGTGTTGGCTTTCAGTTGTTATCATGCTTATCATCCAGACAGTTTCTGTTATGTGCGTGGTTCATTCACAACGAAAGCACAACATCTCCCATTTACTGCACATCTTCAGAAGATATACAAATTATACTTTGGCTGTCTACCTGGAGACCAGGATAAATCTTGGGGCTCCACATGTCATCTGTACCAGTCGTTCAAATGATCTGCGAGACTGGCTAAATCGGCGAAAGGCAGCAGTGCCAGTTGGGATTTCGATGGTGTGGAGGGAGCCGCGAGACCATCTCAACGACTGCTACTTTTGCAGCAGGAATACAAGTGGATTCTCAGCTAAAACTAAGCACAAAATTGTATATCCCAGCCTAGATTCTGCAATCAGGTCTGTTCCTCATGACGAATCATTGCCTGTTCCTGTACCGCCACATGATGGTCTTCATTCTGTAGAAGGTGATGAGGAGTACGGAGAAGGTGCAGCTGGTTACAGTGAAAGCATGATGGACGACTACTGCTGGATGCTGTACCGCGACAATCCAGGCATGGTGTACACAAGAAAATCAAACTCGAAGCATCAAAACATCAAACAATGGTGGTTAACAAACACTTTTCAATTTCTTTATGCCCATTGTCTGTTTATTTGATTTTGCTCTAAAATATTTTACCCTATACTACAGTGATGCTTTTGTTTTAGTACACAATACTTGCAATTACGGTATTAACTAGCATTACTCATAAATCAAAAAGTTGACGTGACAGAAAAAAAAACTGAAAACAGATATGGAATCAGCGTGAAAAGCTGATTTGGAAAAATATGTGTTTTAGTCTCTGATGATTTAAAAAAAAAAAAAGATGTTGTCCTGTGTAATTACCGCGCCAGCCGAGCAGCATTACTGCCCAGTTTCCTCCGCCTATCTTATGCCTGCCTCTTTGACACCTGACTACGGGACTCATACAACGCAGCTGGTTTGGCTGTGAAACAAGGTAACACGCTGTTCCTTTGTTTTAAAATTAGATTAGATTAACTCTTTAATTTTCGACATCCCTAAAGTACCCTTTTTTTTTGGTCTTAAGGTATTAAAACAGTTGCCGTAAGCTGTGTACGACTACAGAAAGATATTTTTTCCGTGCACGGTAAGGTTTGGTTGCGGGGAGGCGACCTTGACATTTTGTTAGTTGATTTAATCAATTTCCAGTAACTTTGTGCCAAATGCCCTTTTCCGAGATGCCACGTGATTAGAACTAGCAGCTAGCGGCCGCTAACCGGGGCCGCACTGACTAATTAGCGCTGAGAGGGAGTGTGGGGCCAGTGGGGGCCACTGCCGGGATAATCGCCGGACTGGGGGGCTGGCTGCCCCCTACTTTGTTACGCATCAGCGCTGCCCCTGCATCTGGCTGATGAACAAGGGGCTTTCTATATAAAAAATAAATGACTAAGATCCTCACAATCAGTGACATTCCAACGAAAGATTCGGTCTGACAGGAATAGCAGTAATGTTTTTCCCCCCGCCTAGTCTATGGAAGCCCCATTTCCTATAACTCCAGCCTAAGCAGCAGAGCGCGTGGGCTCGGGGCGCTCGGCTCCCTCGTTATTTGCTTCGTCGTAAAATCACCGTGAAACGCCACTGATTTCCCCTGCTTCACTTGTTAACTTTTTTGGGTCAGCGAATTGGTTATGAGCCCTGCTTGACTTCACCATGCATTCGTCCGAAACGTACTGTGTGCCCACTAGCGGCGAATCTAGGACTTGACTCTCTGGGGGCTTTGTTATAGAATAATAATTTTCAGGGGGACAGAGACAAAAAATCATGCTGCCCAACATTACGTAGTTATATACTCAAAAGGAAGTTATTGAACATATCAAAATTGCGATTCCATAAAAATATTATGTATAGAATGACAAATCATGTGTTAATAAGCAATATAAAGGTGCCCATATAGACAAGCTTATGACAAGATAACTGGTAGCTGATTGGGTGTTTTATGATAAATGCCGGGGCTTTCTTAGTAGTGACAGAGACCGAAAGGTTGGCCATATGATACCAGAAAGTAAAACCTGATACAATCGTCTGGGAAATGGTTTATCAAGCTTTCTAAAAAAAATGTTCTAATATGACATTTAGGCACACTACGAGGTGTGATGAAATTAAGTTATATTCGTAATTATAGATTCCTAATTATAGCTGCGCGGCGGGTACTCGGAGAGCGGTAGATATCATCTTCGGCATGGTTATCGCATAATCAGTTTAATTACCTTAAATCGTCTAACACTTTGAAACTACACGCTGTTCATTCTGTACAGCTCCAGGGCAGATCGTGCCGCTCAGTCCGCAGACTTGGCAGCTTCCACAACCGGGCGCCTAATGTGAGCCTCCGACAAGGACAGCAGATTTCCTCCAAAGCAAATAAGATCACCACAATAGTAGCATTGTTCCGTCCGTCTGGCTAGGCTATGCGATCGCAGAGAAATGCTATTGTTTTATAACGTAACGTTAGCTGTGATTCCCTCACTGAAAGCACCTCGTGTTTTGTAAAGTAATACATAAATGCACCTTGGCGGCCCGGCTGGTGCTGGGCTGCGCTTTGGCGCTGGGTCTGAGACGCGAAGCAGGAACCGCTTTGTTCCTCGCTGCATTCTTGAGAAGAGGACAGAAAGGAGAGACACCCATTGTAAAGTCAACGATACACGGCTTATGACAAAGTGCCAATCCTTGTAATTCTAGGTGCGCCTGCTTAGAAATCTATATGCTTCTATTGAGATTACATGACATCTGATGGGATGTTTTTTTGAGCGCGGGCAAAAGTAAAGAGAAAGCTGTATTCTAGCTGTTCTCTCTGCTGCCTGACTCACTGGATACTTTTGAAACTGAAGTAGGTGGCAACCTTTCAGCTTCTGAGAGCTGCCGCGGTAAAGGTCGCATCAGCATCCCGATGAAAATAAAGATCTGATTCTTTGTAGAATCACCCAGATAAAACGCAAGAATGAAAGGGGGATTTAATATTCGTGGCTTTACAAAATGTGACGGAGAGATGTAAATGTTTATTTACTTGGAACATAATAGAGACATTTGTGCTCATGTTTCTCCACAAGCACATTGCTCCGCAATAATATAGTGGAAAACAGGTCAGTGATCACGTTGTCGCCCATTGGCTGATGCTGCGAGGACAGCTCGTGTCACGTTGGCACATGCTGCAAGGAATTATGGGAGAATGTGAGGAACAAGTGCCTTGCCTGTGGAATAGGAGTATAATATATAATTTTTAATATAAAACAATTAACCTTCATAAAATATATACTGAAGTGTAACTGATGATCAAATGAAATTTCTCTGGTTTCAGATATTAGACGTCCAAGAATCAGTATTCATGGTCAGTATTCATATTCCAGATTGGGCCCTGTGCTTCCTTCAGTAGGCTCCTTGAGACCCTGCAGTGGAAGACAGGTGGAAGGTCTTCGTTTTGTTGACTGAATTAAGTAAAAGGGGAAAACATATTTAACTGATCGCAAGATTTTCACAATATTTTGTGTAGAGTAGAAACATGCAATTTCCTGCAAGCAAGCATTAATAAGTACACGAGGAAACGAAGTCAGGGAGCCGTTATGTCCCAGATTAGTTTGCAAAGCTGTTAATGCACAAGATCTTTCACACCAGAAATTCACTGAGGCGAAGCAAGATGACACATGTGGTAAGTGATCTTCCCAGAGACACCTTGTCGGTCATCCGCACGTCTGAACATTCCCACTCCATTCGCAAAGCGAAACATCGCATAAGCTTTTGCCATTTTCACATCAGCACTGTCAAGGTGATCTCAGAATGATCAAGAAGACAGAAGCCTGGCAGGGGAGGGCTGTACCAAGCCATATTCAGCTCTCCGTATGCCATAGGCGTCGCTAGGCCAATAAAAAAATTTCTCCATAAAATTTACACAAATTGGTGATCGCCCACGTCCCCTTTAAATTTCATATGAAAACGGCGGCAGACTTCGGCTCCGCAACGTCTTTCAGCGCGGTCTTCAACTGAAGCATCACAGACAGCGGCATCACAGAGCGAGGATTAAGCCAAGGTGTGTGTTTTTCGATAAATTGTTATATCTGCATCAGTGCAGTCCTTTTTCATAAATACAGTTTACAAAAATGTCAAAATTTTCGCTGTGTTACGTCATCACACCAGCTGTTTCCTATAGCGAAAATGAGGCCTTAATACATACCATATTAACCTATAGTCTACTTTATAAAACAATGATGCTGTTGCTGTTTTAATTAGAAACCCTAACTGTCTATATAAAACATTACACAGTGCATGGCATTAACTGCCATAGAGTTATGCACATAAATGATTAAAAACAGTGACAGACAGCATTCAATGCACTCGTTTTAACTGCATAGCAGTGTGATTTACTGAGATAGAAAAATCCTGTTTTTTTTTTTTTGTAATAAATATTGTATTATATTAAATAATGTCCCAGATCGTGAAAAACATTTATTAGCCTTAGAGTAGGGTTTTTGTCACTTTGATTTAGAAAAGTTACTTTTTTAATGAATAGAAACAAAAAAAGAATGATATAAAAAAGATGTTTTGTTTAATTACATTAAAACAATGTTTGTCTATATTAATGAATTAGAATAAATAGCCTAGTAGATATAAAGTTTTAAGGGGTTGAATGTAGAACCTACTGTCTTATTTATGAGGAATCAGGAAGACTCATTTGAGTACTGATTCTGAACAAGCCAAATATGTGTTAAACATCTATGGGGGCTGAGCCCCCCTTAAATGAAAATCCTAGAAACGTCCCAGCCGTATGCAAAGAGCGGAGCTTGTTACAATATGGGCTGCGAGGAAATGACCACGGCGTGCTGGCAGGTAACGGAGCAGTTAAACACCTCAGCTTGTAATTAAACGCTTCCAAGCTTTAATCAGTAGGTAACAACCTATACTTAATATATTGAGTAATGTATAAATATATCAATTTTGTATTTAGCTATATACTGCAAGTTATTTAACTGTGTTCTACTTTAATGTGAAAGTAATGCGAAGCAAATAAAGTAAACATTAGGACACGGTGTTCTAAAGGGAAGGACTTCACCTCAGGAAGCTAAATCACTGGGGATTTCTACGGGGGAAATTCCCATCTCCGCATTTGCTGGCTCAAGTCGAAGGTCATACAAAAAAATTCTTGGATTGCTTGAGCGGCGGCCGGGTGGATGAGGGTGACTGACTGAATTTGCCCACTGCTGGTTGCTCCTCAATAGGTGATGGATTAAAAGCTGCCCTTCACCAAACCTTTGACTTCAGGTGGGAAACTTTAAATAAAAGAGGGATAAAGGTCCAAGGACTCAGGTGGTAATGCGGAAGAGGGGCCTTACTGCTAGGATCAATTTGTATTTCACACTTAGTTGCTCCGCAGGCATATTTATCTGGCACTAATGACACAGTAATTTTGATTGAGTTAGGAGGGCCGTAGGTGCTACAGAATGCTATTTTAGTAAAGGATTTTATTTCTCCTGAGGCTTCACCTTCTGACAGAAGGAGTCCAGGACATGCAACGCTGATGAAACCCCATCAGGAGGAAATAGCAAGTGCATTAAAATGATTACGATCAGTGAGAAACAGACAGCATAGGTCGGTCCCAGCTGTTATAATTATGCTGGCGATCATCGTGTCATAACGGGTTTCTAAACATCTGCGGAAGTGTAGAAAAAACAACATATAAGTAAACGGTTCAATGGAACCTGACTTTGACGCAGAGCTTTGCGGCAGGTGTGCTGATGTTTCACATTCTGAGTAAAATTTGATTTGGTTTTTATAAATCATACTATTCAAAAAGGGAAACCAGGGAAGCCTCCGCTTACCATTTCAATATAACAATATCACACACTTCGAATGCATTGCCTATTGCCTTCTGGGGACTATCCTCGAGGGCTTAATGCTGGTTCAGTGCTGCCATCTTCTGGATTGCACTGAAGTTTTGTTTATTTTTTTAAA